AAATTTTTTTTAAAACCCACCTGGTTATTAAAACATATAAAAAATTTTTTTTAGAAGTGTTCAAATTTTGACTTAGCCAGATTATAAAAACCAATTAATTAATTTTGCATAGTCTTATTAAAATAGTAAGTAAGTTCTGTAACAATGCTTACAATAGAAATTATGATAATTATAATATAAACTAACTCACCTTAACAGCTTATTGTAGTTATCAAAATTGTAAGTTTTTAACAAAATTTTTTAATTTTTAATGATAGAAATCACATTTATTTCAATGCAAACTAACTCATCAGAATAGTAAGTTTTATAACAGAATAATTTATAATAAATTATAATAGAAACACAAATAATTCTAACGCAAGCTATCCTAGACTTAATTGTTACTAAATAACAAGTAAATCTTGCAATAGATTTTTATAGTAACTTGCAATAAAAATACAATAATATTTATGCAAATTATTTTATTTTAACCACATATTGTGGTTACTAAAATAGCAAATAAGTATTGTAATAAATTCTTTTTAAGTAGCTTAATTTTAAAACAAACTAACTCATTTATTTTAATCATATATTATAGTCTATAGAATAGCAAGTAGGTTTGTAGTTAAATTATTTATAGTAACTCACAATAAAAATTATGCCAAATTCAATATAAACTAATTTATCTTAACCAAATATTGTGGAAATATAATAGTAAGTTGTAATAAAATTGGTTACAATAATTTATAATAAAAGTTATGATATTCTAATGCAAAAAAAATTTAATAGCATATTATTTTTATTTAAATAGTAAATAAGTTCTGTAACAAAATTTTATTTGTAGTAGCATGTTTAGAATTAATAATTTTAATGCTAGTTAGCTTATTTTATTTATAATAGTGAATAAATTCTATAACAGAATTTTTTATTAGCTCATGATAATATTAATTTAGGCTACACAAAATTATATACTTGGTTTTCATATCATGAAACAGTGATCAATGACCTGGCCATATAGCTTTTTTATTTCTAATAGTAAGAAATATTTTTTAAATAATAGTCAAAAAAATTTTGTTAATGCTTTGTCTCATGACCTATTATATCTGATATACTGAATTTTTACTCACGAGTATTATCTCAAATAATAGCTCGAATTAAGCTTAATCTGGGCCAAAATTTGAAATTATACCACTGCACATTATTGCATGAAAATATGGTAATTAGTTTTCATATCACAAATTAATGATCTGTTATAATGACTGCACAGCATTTTTTTAGTATAAAAAAAAACTTAATAAAGTACAAACTCAATATACCGAATACAAGACCCTTTCAAATATCAGACTCCTATATATATACCCAGGTTTACAACATGGGATAAAGTTTTAGTAAAATATAAAGACTCGGGATATACAATAAATAAAATAGAATAAATCTTCCAATTATCAGACCTACACCTATACAAAAAACTCATGGGTTTAATTATAGATTTTAAAATTGGTAAAATAAAAAAGACCTAGTCCATCAGTTTACAATAGTATATTTTTATTATAGATGCATCGTAAGTGTTGGCAAATTATTTGTTCATTGTTAATCATTATATTCTTTTGTTATATTATTTATTAAATAAATAATATGATACAAGAATTACTTATAATGTTAGACAGGTATATCATAATAGAATATATGGATAATTAAAATTGTCAAGTAGCAAATATATTGACAAATTATCACCACTCTTACAAACTCAATTTTGTTTGAGTATTGAGAAGTTATCAAGTTTGAAAATATTATAAAATATTAGATTTATATAGCAAAAATGGAGATGGTAAATCAATTTTATCAAATTTAACAGAATCTGTTTAAGAGATTTAACAGTAAATAATGAAAGCTAAAGTAACTCAAACAAAATAAATAAGGATGACTAACTACTTTATTTAAGTGATTGTAAATGATAATCCAATATTCACTTCACAATCACTAATTATAGTATATAATCCAAATTGATTAATAATCAATCTGAATTTTCTGCTACCAAACTCTAGTTTTTTTTTTTGACAATACCAAATAATAAGTTTTGCAAAGCAAAACCTAGTCTCGAGAGAATTAAGTGTTCTTATAGCTTCAATAGTACAATAATACATTTTACGAAAAAGTAGAGAAAATGATATTTCAAAGAAAATTACTAATATTGAAGATTCGATGAACGTTGACCTTTGTTTCGTTCTGGACTGCACTGGTTCTATGACGGGTTATATTGCTGCTGCAAAAGATCATATATTAAAAGTGGCTGCTTCTGTAAACCAATCTAATTCAAATATTAAATTCTGGGTTGGTTTTTGTGGTTATCGTGATTATTCTGATGATATTAATGAACGACTACAAATATTTGATTTTACTAATTCTTATGAGAAATTTAAAACTTATATAACTACTAAAGTAACTGCTTATGGTGGTGATGATATTCCTGAGGATGTTTTAGGTGGCCTCAATGCTGCTATAACTAGAATGACCTGGAGTAATACCACTCGTATTCTTATTCATATCGGTGATTCTCCACCACATGGTCGTAATTATACTAGAGATTACGATTACTATACAAGAGGTGATCCAAAAGGTTTAACTGCAAAAAGAGTTCTAAATAGAATGCACTCAAATAAAATTTTATATCATTTTGGAAAGATTAATAATTCTACTGATACTATGCTTAATATTTTCCGTGAAATAATTGGAGATTTTCCTGTATTCGATCTCAAGAAAACAGGTGGTGACCCTTCTAGGTTAATCAACAAATTTTGTAAAGCTACTTGTTCTGCCATTTTTTCTTCTGTTACATTAACTACTACTTTAAAAAATACAAAATCTATATACTCTTTACAAAGAAAAAAACTTCAAATTAATCCATGTGAACCTGATTGGTCAACTCTTCCAATGAAATCTGGTGAACTTTTATGTTATCTTTTACCTGACTCACTGGATGAAATCAAGGATGAATTTTATTTTTTTAATTCAACTTTTACCGTTCAAGAAATATCTTTTAAACTTGCACCACAGCCATTTTCTGTTGGTGCTGAACGGTATGCTTATTTTGCTCTTGATACCGAACTTGGGCAGAATGAAAAATTGGTTGTGAAAAAGTATCATGATGTTAAAACTGGTTCTATAGAACGGTACTTGGAATCTGTAGAAGTCTCTAGTATCGCCCATTTTCTTGCAACAAAATTCAATATGGCTACTGAAAAAATTAATATTAAAAAGAAAGTTAAATTTATTGATGTGAAAGTGTTATGTGATAAAACCGAACCCTGGTACTGTGTACTATTCTGTAGAAAAGTATTTCTCTGATGCTGAATTTAAAAGATTTAACGTAAATAGTGGAATAATTACTGAATTTCATTCTATCCTCGAAGCATTTGCTCATTTCACCTATCAATATACTGATGGATATTTAGTAGTTTATGATTTACAAGGAGTTGATCTCGAAAATGAATTTTTATTAACTGATCCCGCAATTCATTGTACTGATATATTAAGGTTTGGAATAACAAATCTTGGAATTAAAGGAATTCAAATATGTTTTTTGGCAAATCATAAATGCAACGATATTTGTGAAAAGTTAATGTTAAATAAAAAAGGTATAATTTGAAATGTAAGTTTTTCATATTACTGTAATTATAGAATATTTAAAGAATTATGTTGATTTTGTATCATCTTAAATTTATTCTGCATATGTATTTTACATTGATTTATATTTATTAACACAATTGTATTAATAAAATTTTTAAACTTCGAAACTCTAATAATCACACCACTGACAGTGGTAGCAACCATATTCTTCCTTTACCGTGGTTTGCAAGTTAGAATAGTGTGATTGAGGGCTTTTTTCCTGGATTGGATTTGGTCCCGTATACCTTGAGATGAATGGCGTTTCTATCTATGGAGATGTTTAAATCTAGCATCTTACGAAATTAACGAGACTGGTTTAGATAGGACTTTTATTTGTTGTCTCGCTTTGTTTATTCTGACTGGTCCGAGTTACACACCGGATGACATAAATACCATGCTAATACCCCGAGCACTATTCAAGATCACGGGAGTATTAATTAATAATACCCTGACCGTATGTGAATTAGCGGGGCTGAAAGCCCCGCTAATACCCAACGGATCAGGATATTATTATTACTAATTTAGCATTTCCATTTCTAATAAAAATATAATTATCAATAATAAGTTAGATATGCAATGATATGCAATACGAAGCAGTATTATACTGTGGCTAAATAATATATGCTCTCTGAACTTTAATACTGTAACATTGCGTTTATAAAAAGATTTTTTATGACAATATCGTGCGTGAATATTTGTAAAGATAGTTCTGGGCTGATTGGGTTTCATGGTTAAACACTACCTAAAAGTGTAGGCTACTCGAAAGAATCGTGAAAAATTTAGTTTGAGAATTAGTGATCCTATTGCATTAGGATCCTTGGGTTATTGTTAAATGGTATTTATTTATTATTATTTCTTATTCTTTAATTACATGAAGTCGATGGGTTTTTATACCTTGCAGATCGTATTGGACGTTGCTACTAGCGCTAGCTAGTTGAAATTGAGTAGTAGAGCTACCAATTTCAGCAATTTAATAAATTTGTGATCGGGGAGACTTGAAATAACATAATCGTACCGTTCATTATCTGCATATAAATTTCTTAGGCTCAAT